CATCATTTAAAAGTTAAAAACTACTTTTGATTCAAATGGCTATTGCATGGCATAATAACCGAATTAAAAGGTGAAATTATAAGTTCTTTAAAATATCCTCTTTAGTGCATTTTTGCAATTAAATTCTATGGCATTCATTCAGTTTACGCAAGCTTTTCTTTTCTGTTCTTAATAAAACATAGATGATATGATTTTCAAGAATCATGCGAGTTTATCTTAAGACTAACATTTGAAAGACAACAGTCACTTAAAAGGGTAAATTGTAAAAATTCATTCACTATATCAAAAATAAGCACTTACTTCTCACCAAGATAAAAATTTTCAAACAACATGCAAACCCGAAGCTTCCTAGATAATTCAAATTCACCACAGTACTTGCATGCATGCTGCATGTGAACCACAATAAAATCCTCCCTCTTCTTACGAATGGAATCTCCAAGCTGGCAAACGAAATACAGTGTAAATTAGCAGTACATCCAATAAGATGAACAAACTAACAAAAAAAGAACCACATAAACCCTTAAAAGGATAGAAAGAATGTTAAAGATCCCAAGAAACTGGCAAGTTAACCAATTAATGATGTTATCTTTGTAAAAAAGTGGCATCTGAGGACAAATGTGGTTTTTTGATAAGTCGTCAAGAATGTTTAATATATAACAGTTCAAGTAGCAAAAAAAAAAGACAATGATTTTGAAAGATATAGCTAAAAGAAAATTGGTCTGTACTTTCTGTGTCAAAAGAGCTTCCTTTTGCAGTATCATTTGCAACAATAGCTTGAGTTGAATATTTCGGAGCCACTTTTGAAGCTGGTCTTTTTCCACTCTTTGTCGTTTTTCACCGTCTTCTTTATCAATATTAGCAATAATATACTCTGCCCTTCTAGAAAAGTAATCCCCATCAAAATATGGTACAGAAGTCAAGGTCACCTTTGCCTTCTTTTCACCAGTACGCACAAAGAATTGTTCATACATATTAGTATGCTCCACTACAATATCTTTATCTGTAGCCTTTTGTATCGTATCAAGATACGTAAGAAACAAACAAGTTATACTCCAGCTCATTGTAAGTTCCCCTCTAAGACAGAGTACTTTAAACCTCAAAAATTGGCATTTCTTGTTAGAAAATTGGCATTTATAGTAATGACTGGATGCAGATGAAAATAAGAATACACGGGCTCACACACGCACACATGCACACACTGCAAGAAAGAGAGAGCTCACCACTGACGTAGTCTACCAACCTTTGGGGTCTTTTGTATCTCTGGGTGGCAATACAAAATATAGTCATCTCCTTTCGTAGGACAGACCCATATATGACAGCTCATAAACCCTCTTCTTTTGCAATACTCGAGATATCCAACCTGAAAAAAGAAAATCAATCATTCCACAGATCACTCACATAATTGTTCATCACAGAAAAATAAGTGCCACAACTAAAATATTTTAACAAGACTGCATCATTCACTTAAGTTTTATAAAGGCATGGTGTGCGATCAGAGTTCAATACAATGGGATAAACAACCATATTGGGTAGGGGCTGACACCGATATACACTACTTACAGCCAGTATATCAGATATCAACAAGGAAGTAGAACAAAAGTTCTGTTATTCTCATTACTAAATATTCAATGTAATTTCAAAAAATATCATCAGATAAATTGAAGATATTTGAGTGATATTCCAAAAAGTACAGGAAGTAGCAGAATTATACCAGACAGAATGCAAGTTTTCGAAAATGGTAGAAACCCACTTATATAAATCACCTAATACATTGAAAAAACCAGCAATATACGATCATTGTTGCCAGTCTTGATTTAAACATCATAACTATCCCATATCGTAACAGGCAATGAACCAAAACATCAGATTCTATATTTTTAAATCAGCTATACAATTTTTGAACCATGTATGCAATCCATAATTCTGGATTGGAAAATATCACATTAATATCTAACCTTAATCTTATCCAATCAGATTAAGAGTGAAACAAATGAACAAAAGAGAATGGATAAAAGGAAAAGCATGAAGAATTATAAGATTTTCACCAAAATTTCATGATATACAAAAGTACGGAGAGCCTCCCCAGTAATAGACTTAATTGCAGGCTGGAAGTACTTGACAGAATCAACATATGGAAGACAGACACGACGATTGTTTGGATATGGACATTCCGAACCATATTCTTGGACGTACATGCAAAAAAGACAAACGTCTACGCCTTCCTTTTTTTGAAACAGCAATATGGCCTGCAAAAAATCATAAAATAAATCCAAGCAAAAACACAGTAGAGCTAGCAAAAACCACCAAATTCAAGACTCCTTTCAACATCAACGGCCTAAAAAATGACGACACAAGTATCATGATTTGCCTACTGAGTTTTTGGAAATGTTTACTAACCTTTGATTTGTATGGAAACTCTGAAGAGTAACTTTCATCGTTAACAATCTCCAGAAAACGTTGGTTCACTTGCAGTTTCTTGTCAACAGATAAGAAAACTCTAACGACAAGATCTTTGGCCCCTGGCACCTGGAACCAATGTGGTCATCATTAAAATGAATATAACATGCAAGTTGAACACTCCATTCGTTGATGAACCAAGATTCACAATACTATAGTGTCCAGACATCATCATTATAATGGTATTAAAAAAAGAAATTAAAATTAAAATTAAAATATTAAGACGTTAACATGCAATTCAAATTATAACAAAAGGACAAGCCTTTGTTCTCCCACAATACAAAATCTTTAGATAACAACAGCCAAATGACCAAAAGGATCAACTTGAATCAAAGCATCAACTTGAAAACAAAACAGAACTCCATTGTTATTTAAAACTTCTTCTGCCTAACTATGATAGAGATGTTGTCTCACATTGTGAATGAGCGACAATATAAAAAATGAAAACAAAATGCATGCATGTGAGAATAAATCCACATTCAGCGAACTTTATATACTCTATAATGGCATAACTTAAATACCTTGAGATATGAAATATTCATGCCAAAATCTGTATTATAAAATCCAGTAACAAGATAAAAACAGGAAGCTATTCAATGCCAAAAAAATGTAAAACAGACCTGGTTTATTTCCAATTTTCCACTACACGTTTACATACACGACTCATATTGCATGTGAGTGTGTGTGTGGGAGAGAGAGAGAGAATAAAAATAAAAAACAATAAACTTTAAAGGTGATCCATAAAATGCACCATTTATAGAGTAGACAGGTTACCTCATAGAAATTCCTCCCTAATACTTTTGCCCTTTCTTCTCTCTCCCAATTTAGCTGCCTAAGCAGCCTTTGCTCCAAGTGATCACTAAGGATTGTCGTTGGCAAATCTTTTGCACTGTGAAGGTCACTTTGAGGTAGAGGGTTTCGTTTTCCTCCCTCAACCTCCTTTAAAAAACAATAGGGCCAAACATATTCAGTCTGACCAGAATAACTTCTTTTATTAAATAGCACACATATCTGATGGTTCCAAGATCCACATCCACTGCATTGAACCCACTGTACAGATGCATTACACAAATAAGGGGGAAATATCAACAAAGATGAAAACTGGCAGATCTAGCTTTAACAAGATGGATATGTACCTCTTCATTAAGTTCATCAATGTTCCTTTTCTCAACAAAATTAGACTTGAAAACCTGAAATCCTTCAACTTCGATGCTCTCACCGCGTGCTCCACGGAAGCATCTAGGACAAATATAAGATTGTTTGCCCCCATTGCTTGTGGTATAATATATAGCTTCTCTCTTGACATGGAGACCACATAAATTACAATATACCGCGAGTGTAAAAGAAAGGTGCTCCATACAGCACAACTGGCAACGACTTTGATTCGAAGAATTCTGCATTGCTTGACATTGTTCTGCCTTCGATTTAGTCTAGATACATTGAAATCATAAAAAGTTAGATAATCTGAAAATTATTACTCGCATGTAACCATATTCAAGGAAAACTGGGTTCAAATAACTAATATTACAAAAAAAAAGAATTAAATTAACACATTTATGATTGCAGAGCTCACAAGAAAAAACTATCTAAAGCATCTTAGAGTGGCTATAATGTTATGGTATCTTAGAATGACTATAATGAAAAACACCAAAGAATCAGTACAGTTAACTTCTCAACTCTAAAAGGATGTTTACAATGTAGTAAACCCTAGAAAAGACCACAAACACTAATCCCGAGACACCACTATCTGCCAAAACGAACCATCAACCTTGTGGACTCGCATAATAAATACAATCAAACCTTCCTCACATCTTAATATACTAACATGGCCCTCAATTACCCAGAATCTATGAAGGGAGGGTTCAAGGCCAAGAGAACAACTAACACATTCCCCACTAATCAGATTAAATTTTGATATAAAGAAATATGCATATCCTTTTACATGAATGTTTCTGTACATGAAAGTTCTCAAAAAGTTAATGAAATTAAGTTACCAATCAAAAACGAAAAAGGCCAACTAAGAAAACAAGAAAGAACGATGACTGCATATTAAAAGTCCAACTATTCTAGACGCCCACAGATGCGCTGTCCTAGTTCATGCATGTAGAAGAATGCACTTAAACAGTAATATTATGAAAGTTTCGTGAAGATTGTGCAAGATTTTCATTTTAACATTATCATTAACAAAACTAGGCTACACAAAGTTCAAAGAACTCAAAGGTAGACCAGCGTACAGTGAAAAATTGGTGCCAACAAGACGATCAAACCAATATTGTATATACAATGTTCGAGACTGAATAATCCCAAAAAGAAAAAAAAGAAAAAAAAAAAAGAAGCAGCACAATACCGCAAATATACTGGAAATCAATTCTCTTCGAATTCTAAGTCAAATAACCATTTGAAAATGTAATTACCTCGACAGTCTTATCCATTTAATCATATGCACCATAAAAATAAGGCAGAATACTGCATTCACAGAGAGAAAACAAAGTAGACCAGTGGTTGTAAATTTCATAGGACGAGACAGTTATATCTATTAAATTAAAATTTTGCAATCCCAGAGAGAAACATGTAAATCTTACTGTAACTATAAGCCTAAACTAAGACGCCCCAAGGCTAATATTTCAGAATGTAAATCCCAAAGAAAACATAATGCCTGCCTTCCCCCCATAGCAAAGACATCAAGAAGCATGAAATGAGAATGGTATGCCTCGAGAAAGTAGAATACTAACCGGACCCACAAACTGCCTTAGAGAGTTGATGTGAGTTCTAATTTGCTCTGGAGTGAAATACTCGAGCAAAGAAGCACCTCTTAGCTTCTGCGTCCCATGCATAGTTCCTGCTCCAGGATCGGCTAGTAAGACAACAGATTCCTGGTTTATTTCCATTCGGCACTCGTTTATCTCAGTGCAATCATCATTGGTGGCTTGGGATGACAACCCATCAGAGGAAGTGAAAGAAATATCACCTTTCACCTGAGAAGTGTGCTCCATACCATTTTCCAGTTTGTTCCCTTGACTCTCATGACAAAAAGGTAGGGAACTCCCAACGTCAACAAAACCAGGCTCTTTGATTTGAACACATGTTTTTGCTTTCCCAAGAACAAAAACCTCTGATATTGGGTATTGCACTTCATTGTGCAATCTTCATTGGTAAAAGTGGGCATTGCACTTTCAGGTTGTTTAACCCTCATTCTTTTCAGTGGGTGTTGCACATCCCCCAAATGTTCTGAGCTCATAGCCTCTTCCCTGTCCTTATCAAATCTGCCTTCCCTGAATTTGATGGCTGGTTCAAAGATGGCTTCTGTTCAAATGTAATCACGCGAGTCCCAAAACAAACAAAGCAAGCATCCTCGCTACAATGACAATAGTGCCCCCACAATTTCCTCAGCGGCTGGCAAAGGGTAACGTGACAATGAACACTTTGACAACTAGAAATGTGCATCCAAATCCTTCGTGCATTTACACAGTCATGATATGCGCATTGGTTTTCCAGAGCTGAACATTTGCTGCCATGGTGCAAAATAACCAACCATTCAACTGGTATCCAATCTTGATTATTAAGATTTTCATTCGCTTGGGTTTGAGGTCGTGACTGGTCTTAGCCAATGCAATCTTTAGATACAGGTCTACATCTTGAATGTGACGAATGTCTTTTTGCATTCCTTAATTTCAACCTCCCAATACGGCAAGAAAGCATTGACGATTCACATGATTTCGCCATAATTGGGGAAGCCACCAGCTTTGAAGTATGCCAAAACTCTGCATTGTACCATCTAACCTATCAATTATCCATCATTACCAGTGTCCAAAACAATGACTCGGGCTGGTTACCCAGCCAATGCCCAAGCCGAGTACTCGGACTCAGCCCGAGTCCCAGTAACTTGGCCCAAGTAAGGTCGAGTTCCGGCCAAGCTAAAAAGTGTTAAAAAAAATCCAAAAAATAGGAAAATATGTTTAAAGAAAAATTAAACAAAGAACATCTAAATCAAGTTAAAACAATAGTGAAATTTT